TGCACAGAGTGACTCGGAGACGTCTGGAGTTACTGACAACGTGTCCAGAAGTGTGAAAAAAACAGAACTACTGGAAGCTGGATCAGAACCTCCTACATGTCATGTGTCTATCTGCTGTACTGATGAAGTTCTGAGGCTCAGAAATGATGGAAAAAGTCCATTGAAGTGATCAATCTGGACCCTCCTCTGTGGAACTCTGGAACATTCACAGTCTGAAGGTAGAACTCTGGTCAGTAGATAAAGGTGCTGCAGAATCAGAACCAGATATTCTGAGGAGGTTCTGGAGGAGCTCTAGTCAGTAGATAAAGATACTGCAGATACAGAGCCAGAATCAGAACCAGGAGGAACTACTTCCACATCCTGTGTTCTCTGTTTGTGCCTCATTAATCAGATTTCTATTTTGTGGTGTTACTAGAACATGTTGGGTCCAGGTGAGGAACTTGTGCAGCAGCAGTGTGTTTCTGCTGCAGCTGGGCTTCACCACCACCCGTCCGTCCGTCCGTCCGTCCGTCCGTCGTCCTGTGTTGTCTGCAGTGTGAGAACTGAGCGCTGAGCTGTGCAGCCCTGGGGGAGGCCAAGCTGCATTCAGCCGCCTCTATGGAGCCACAAAGCCGCATTCATGGGGCTGAATGGCTGTTTTTCTGCGACCAGGCACTGGTCGGGCCGCCCCATTGGACGCCGCTCCGAGTTACCGCTCGGCCCGCCTTGGTATGCACGGCTCGTCCAGCGGCAGCACAACGGGCGGACGGACAAAGGACGGAGCGCACGGACACGGGAGGCCGCCAGCGCTGAGTTGCTACCCTCAGCAGAGATGGACGGTTTCCTGGTTCTGTTCTGCTGCTCACACCCTGGACCCAACATGTCTGCCCCGGTTTGTTAAAGTAAATGAAGCTGAGGAGATTTAATGTGACGGGTTTGATAAGTTCAGTCTTCTTCAGGACTTCGTCTGTTTCAACGACAGGTTCATTAAATCAGGTTATGGAACCATCTGACCCAAGAACCCACAGAATCAGAACCACTGAAGCCGGCGTGTCGAGGAGACGGGTTCGTTATGTCTGACTGTAAAGGCAGGAAGTCATCAGGTCACATGTTCTGGTTTTAACTAAAGAATATCTACAGGATGACGGGACTGTCAGCTGGTTGTGTTTATGTTGTTGTTGTTGTTTATCATGTTGTTGTTGATGCTGTTTGTCATTGAAGTTTTCTGTAGATGTGCTTCTTTGGGTGAAGGAGGCAGAAAACATCAGATCATTCAGGATTGTTGGTTTCGTGTTTCATGGTTTTGTTTGAACTCAATGAATGAAATAAAAATAAAAAATAAAAAGACTGACGTTTAAAATGTCTCCGATCGTCCTGAAAGACTAAAAACGAGTCCGACGTCACACCGACCGGGTCAGGACGTGAGAGAAACTTGACCAAAGTGACTCGAAACTGATCCTACATGACTCAAAATGTGCTTCATGTCACAGGAACTGGTTCACAGCGACTCAAACTGAGTCTATTACCACAGGAATGTCTCAAAAACGACTCAAAGTTTGTTCAGTGTGACTCTAAATCCATCCACAATTATTTAAAATCCTACAAAAATGGTCCAAAATGTCCTCAGTGACTCAGAATGCGTCTGCTGTGATAAAAACCTGTTAAAACGACTCGGACTAGTCGATGGAAACAACAATGACACGGTTCAGAACTTGTTTGACTCGACTCAAAGTGTAGAAACATCTAGAAAGACTCCAGGTCTGTCCAACGTCAGACAAACTTCATTTCACCAAAATGTGTCCTAATCTACCCTTTATTCTCTGTTTGGATCCCGTTAGCTTCCACAAGGTGCCTGATAGACTACCTGCTAGTCTTCCTGCTAGTCTACCTGGACCCTCCTGCTAGTCTTCCTGGATCTTCCTGCTAGTCTTCCTGCTAGTCTTCCTGCTAGTCTTCCTGGATGACTCGACGTCTCGATAATGTCTGACCGGTGACTCTAAATCCGTCTCGTGACAGAAATCCGTCCAAAATGTCCTCACCAACTCAGAACGTGTCTGCTGTGATAAAAACTTGTTCAGAACCACTCAGACTTGGACTCAGAACCAGTCCAGTGAGTCAAGAACCTTTCAGAATGAATGACATGTTGTTGGAAGTGACTCGAGATGTGACCAAACATGCTGATTCAGAACGGGTCGTAAATCACTCAAACTTCATGCTCAGCGTCTGACGGATCGTCCTCAACACGTCGGTACCTTCTGGTTCTGGTTCTGCCGTCAGACGGAGGCACCAGAATAAACGTAGAACTCATTGACATTCAGCTAATGTCTGGTTCCAATTAACGGAGAGCCGGAGTCATGATTCAGCATCGACTTCCTGTCGGCCGGCGAGCGTCTCTGATCGATCGACTCACGGGCCGCTCGATGCGCCGGAGGTCCAGTTCTGCTCGCTCTGCTGGACTGTGCGGGTTAAAGGTCGGTTCTGATTGGACGGTGTCTCCGTCGACCCGAAACCGTCTCTGACTTAAAGATGCACCAAACCAGCAGGAGGCGAGAAAAGAGCAACGCCGAGGAGTTCTGGTTCTGACTCACAGGGTCCAGTTAAGGGGAGAGTTAAGGGGAACATTATTTCCATATTTTAATGATTCAGAACCTCGTCAGATGTGTGACGCTGGCTTTTCATCTAGTCAAACCTTTAATTGTCAAACAGAAAAAAGGGAGATTTTTTTTACCACGTGTTGATCCAAACCCGGCTCAGTCGGACCAACACCGTTAACGATGAAGCTGAAGCTCCTGAACCCAACATTAAGGCTGAAGGACGAAATCTGCCTTAAAGGTTCTGGAACAAGCTGCTGAACCAGAACCTGCAGCTCAAACGTGTGTCCTTTGTCCACTGGTACCAAAAAGAATTCAAAATGTCTCTAAAACGGTCCAGAACAACTTCAACACGTCCTCAGTGACTAAAACCATGTCCAGTGACAGAACCATGAGTCAGCTGATCCAGAAGGAACCAATACGTCCAAAGTCACAACAACGTGAACAAAAGGACTCAAAGTTGGTCCAAAATGATCAAACATTCGTCAACAAAGCTCGTCCAGATGATTCAGAACACTTTTAAACAGCTCTGAACCCAGCCCAGAACCAGTCCAGAACTAGTCCAAGTCTGACCCAAGCTGCTCAGAATGTGTCCAAAATGATTTAAAATGCCTCCTGTGTCGCAAAAATGATTCAACATGACTCAAATTTGGTCCAACATGGTCCAAAGTTGATCACGATGGACTCACTGTGAGTCCAGAATCACAAGAACCTTCTCAAGACAACTCCAACGTGTTCCGGACAGCCCAGAACGTGTCCAGAACCACAAACATTTGTACAAAATCACTCAAACTTTGACCTAAAATGTGTCTGATGTCTCTAAAACTGTAAAAGGCCTCCAGCTGGACCGAGCCCGGTACCACAGAACTGGGCCAGAACTACATACATGTGTATCTAGTGACTGAGCAGTTCTGCTGCAAGTGAACCTCACCAGAACCAGCCAGGTCAGAACACAACTCTGGGCTCTACAGAACACCTCCTCTGTGGATCATCTGGTGCTGAAGGCTTCACACAAACTCGACTCTGGATCTTTGGCACAAACACAATCTGCTGTCGAACCAGAACCGAGCCAGAACCGGCCTGGACACACAGACTGAGGAGCTCGGATGGAACAGAAGCGGTTCCGTTACACAGAAGCAGCAGCAGTGGACGGGTTCTACTCACCGACTCCGATCTTCTCGTCCTCCGTCGGCGTCCACATCGCGTCCAGAACAAATCCACACAAAGTTAGAACCTCCGGCCCGGACGCCTCATGGACCGACCCGTCCGAGGAGCACAGAGCCGCCAAAAGTTGCCTCGGGGCCGAAAATACGGAGAGAAATCCGGGTTTGTGTCGTTACTCGCTCCGGTTCGGGATCCGGCCAGCTTCGGTCTGACGCATGGCGCAGCGCCGACCGGGCTGCGTTCAGCGGCGTCACGGCTCCGGTTCGCCGCGGAGGGAGCTCAGGAGGGGCGGCTCGGGCTGGATCTCCGGTCCGGAGCCTGGACGCGTCCGGAGCAGGAATCAACACAGACAATAAATCACAGAACCAGCGCGTAAATCCCTTTATCGGCCGGTTCCGACCCAGTCGTCCGTCTGCGTCCCACAACTTGTGCTTGGAGCTGAACGAGGCGGTTCTGTGTGCGTCAGAACCGAGCAGCCGCAGCAGCCGAACCGGACCGGACTCGGTGTGGGTCCGGCACCGACGTGCAGCAGCCGCGTCTTCATCCGAAACACGGAGAAACGGCGCAAAGAGCGGCGGCGGCGGCGGCGGCGGAGCGAGCGGAGCCGCAGACTCACGGTGGCGTCGCTCCACAGCTGACTGGGGACGACCGGGAGTCTGCGGAGGCCCGGTCCGGTCGGTGGGCGACTCCTGCCACCGTGTGTCGGCTCCGGAGCAGCGCAGCAGCCGGGTCACCTCAGAACAGAACCAAAACAGAACCAAAATAGA